ATTAATTTAAAAAAAAAATTGGTAGCATAAAATGTAGAATTTAATTAAAGACTTTGTTTAATTATGTGATATTTATTTAAAATAAAAAATCATCATCATCAATTCTACAACTTCTCTAATCTTTACTTATATCAAAATAGTCAGTCATATGTTTTTATGGATTTTATAATAGATTTTTGAATCTTCAGCTCTTATAAATTATTTTACTAAGATGGTCCATTTTGTACCATATACAAAAACTATCTTAGGTTAACAAATATTTAAACTCTTTCTTGAAAATAATTATTGCTATTATGGATTTAAAATATATATTAGATAGAGGGATTCAATGTGTATTAAGATTTTGAAGAATATTTTTTAAAATTTTGAAAATAAATCTAAAAATATATTTATAGATAACTAAAGTAGGTGAATTAAATTTTAGATTAGTATTTTAGATGTTCCATTAATTATTATTAAAATTCTTAGACAACTCTTTTTTCATTGATAAAGTTTTTTTATAATTAGAAGATATATTATTTTATTCAATAATCTTCTTTTTATATTATTTATAATTATTATCTATAACTTGATATTTTTAATATCTCAAAAGTTGATAATCTTATAATAAAAGATTTAAAAAATTATTTATCAAAGCTACATTTGATAATAAAGGTATTATTAAAAAAAGCACAAGAACAAAAATAATCAATGCAAATGTTTATGGCAAGGAAAAACCTCAATTTTATATTGGTAACAAGATATGATTACTTTGTTATAATATCATCACTATTTGTACATATGACAAGTTGGATTATAGTAAGCTTCGACTATTTCTTATTTGTACATAAATTAATTCAATTAGATATTACTTATACTTATTGGAATCTATGAAGGTCCATCTTATATTATTTCTATTTTTTCTTAAATCATACAAGATAATAAATATATTGAAAAAAAGATAGATGCCACCTTGTCTTATAAAAATAAATAATTATCATAAATTTGAGATGGAAGAGGTCTTAGACTTAAAGCTGAGCTAAAATAGGTTGGAATAACTTGTACATTGGCAAAAATATGATATTAGTAAGCATACATAGAAGCCATATAGAAATTTGACAAATACAACAAAGAATGTTGATACTTTTTATCAACAACATCCATCAAAATTAAGATGAAGAGTCAATAAATTCTTTGTTATAAATCAAAAAAGCTTCAACAAAGATTGTATTCTATTTTTTATTTTTATTTGTATTTTTATTTATAATTGAGATATTAAAAAGATAAAAAATCAACATCCAATAAATTCAACTTAACAACTATCAAATAAGCTATTGTTGGTTTATCAAAAAAGCTATTGAGATAGTCACAATCTTTAAGGCATCATTATAGACATGAAGATTTTTAAAAATGACATCTCCTTTCTTAAATAATTGATAAGATACAATGCCTTTGATATCACAATCTTAAAAAAAGCCTCTTAATATTTGGTGATATTATTAAATATAGAATTCACTAATTATAGTATTTTAAATAAAAATTTTGAAAGAAATTATGAAGGCCTCAATAATAAAAAAATAAAAAGGTATTATTTTGCACCTTAGTATATGATACAATTGATAGTTGAAATCACCTTTCAACTATCTTTAATAGGTAAGAACATTAAAAAATGTAACAAATATAATTTTCCATATTTTGAATTTTTTTAACAGGTGATCATTGTTTCCCACAAAACTCGTCTCTAAAAGAAGAGATAATATTACATATATATAAATTAATACTAATATTTACTTAGATTAAATGAATTAAATAGAAGTAAATAAAGTTTATAATTTCTTATGGAATAGCTTCTTAAAAACTTTATGAATGTAGATTTGTTTTTTAGAAGTTTGTAGGTGATTAGTAGCTAAAAAACTTAGCCAAGAAGTTGGCCATATGTTGCATATATTGACCACTTATTATACAAATTGGCAATATATTACACATGCTGCCTAATTGTATGAGTTGACCATATAGCACATATGCTAGAAACTTTCCTTGTAAGTTAGACATGTATTGGATGACTTACATAATGTTGCCATATACTTCCTTAGTTATATAATATATATGGAGACAAGAGTGAGACCTTCACTCTTATTAATTCTTTCTCGATTATAGTCTAGTTTAAAGAATCAATAGCACGCTTGTCTTTGGCAATAGCTATTTTAATTTGTTCTTGAAAATACACACTTTTTCATTATCTTTATATCATCTTTCTTTGAGACACATACCACATGTTTAATTATATTCTTCAAGTTCTTGTTCTTGATACTATGTTATTTCTATTATGCAAAAAATAACAATATGATGATAAAAATAAATTATAGTTTTGAATTAATTTTTTTTATTTATTTTTAATGATTTGATAAAATAATAAAATTTTATTTTGAAGATATCAAGATTTCATGACATTTTTAATAGAAGGATGTAAATATATATATATATGAGATTAATAAAATACTTAGTAAAGTATATCAAAAATAAATCTATAGATATTTTTTATAACATTCTTAATATTATGAAACATCTGAAAAATAAAAAGATGTTATTTTTTATAACATTCTTAATATTATGAAACATCTGAATAATAAAAAGATGTTATTTTTTATTATTCAAAATTAAATATTTAGATACTTAGATATATTCTAAAGTAGTCGTTTTTTGTTTAAGATTTTTTTTTTTTTTTTTTTTTTTATATGAAATGATGAGTATATTTTTAAAATACTAAAAAATTTCTTTAAATTATATTAAAAAGTTATAAACAATAAAAAGTAGATATTATTTATTTAAGATGTAGTTTCACCTTATGATACATTTTTTATTTTCAAAGATAATAATAAAAATTATTTAGTTTAATGATAGAAATAATAATTTATATATTTTTAAAATATTTAGATACTATATATATATATATATATATATATATATATATATATATATACTTTATTAAAAAATAATATCTACTTTTTGTTGTTATGATTGAAAATAAGCAATAAAAGAAAAAATTATCTAACATCATATATATATATATATATATACACACTCAATATTTATATTTTTATTAGATAATTAATAATAAAAATTAAGTAAAAAAATAATAATTTTCTAAAAAAACCATGTTCTTAAATAAAATCTATTAAGACTAATAAATCTTATTTAACATATTAAAAATATCATTTTTTGTATATCTATATTATATTTGTCTGAGTGTATGTATATATATATATATATATATATGATTGTAGATTACTTTAATATTATATATATATATATATATATATATATATATTTATATATGCTTATTATTTTTTAATGATACATATCTAAAATACATATATTAAAAATGAAATATATTACAAGTAAAACGTAGAAATAAAAGTCAAAAAAACATGAATAAAGATGAAAGAGATAAGCCATTAAATCTAAGAGTAAACATCAAGCCATGCACTTTAACACTTTTTTTTTATTATTATTCTTTAATATTTCTATTTATAATTTCACTTATTTGCAATTGCTGAATATTAAAAGTATTAGAATAAAATCCAATCACCATATCTTGATCTTTTTTATTAGAAAAAAATAAACCAGGTTATTTATTTATTTATTTATTTTTTAATCTAATAACTAATAAATATTATTATTATCACATTTATGCGTAGAAAATAACATAATAAACAAAATATTGTAGAATCAACAAAGCAACAAACCAAAGACCACAGGAATGAGGCACAAGTTTTATGTGCATTATTTGAAATTATACTTAATCAAAGAAAAAAAAAATCAATAACAGCAAAGATAGGCTAAGGTTAACATTCTAATTCATGCTGCATAATTTAGTTTAGTAGATTAAATTACATTTACATAACACATAAAATTGATATCTTTAGGTTTTTAAATATTTTTATCTTGAAATAAGAATGTCTTTATATTTAGGAGACAAGATAATAGACTAAATTTTTTATATCTTTTGATTGATTGAATTTCTGAAGCCTCAGTAAGTTGGCTTTATACTTTAAGAAATTAGTTTAAAAGCCCTATAAAGAAAAAAATAAAGAGAAATGTTTTTATTTTCTTTTATTTTCAACATAAAATGAACAATGTTGTTCTTTAAAATTTCTATTGGGTCTATCTGAAGAATTGGTTTTTAGAAAAATTTGAAAAGTTGTATTGAATATTGCTAAAAAATCTAATTTTTTTGAAAAGAAAAAAGTATTTAATGAATAAATTTATACAATATCATATTCAACAGCCTAGACTTCCTAAGGAGGGCTTTTGTTCACAAGCATTAAAAATTGATAAACTTTTTGAACCATGATCTTTTGAAGTAGACTTCTAGATATAAAACCCACCTTATTCACCAATTTGTTAGAGCTAATGAAAATCACCAACCAGGCCAATCACCTGAAAGCCATGATCTTGTGCAGGAATCACATCTGAATGGCTCTTAATCGAGTCATTGAAGCAGTGAAAACCACACCGTGGCCTGACACTTAACCAGGCTTTGACTTTGGTCAAAGTTCAGCAGCTTGCGAAGACCCTGAGATTGTAGTAATTAAGCGTTGCTCAGTTGAAACTGATGCCATAAACCAGGCATTTTAAGTGATTTAACTGTTGGTATTGGTTGCCGATGAAGAGGAAGGGGCAGTAGAGCTCATTGGAAACCAGTGCCAGGAGTGTTCTGGAAATTAATTGCTTGCTTCCCCCGCGGCCTGACATCGGTAAAGTCCATGCAAAGGCTCCATTACGCTCGCACAAGCGCAGCTTGGCAATAGATTTGCAAAACCAGCATTGATCATAACTGTGGGCGATTCACCAGCTGCAGTGTGGGGGGCCAGCATTAACTGTGTTCAGGGAGCATTCATTTAATCTGTCTGAAACGGCAATAAAAATTTCACTACGTCGTGCAGTGCATGAAGCAATCATCAATTCGTTCAAGAACAAATAGAGATTAGAAAATTATAACGAGGATTTTTTTTTCTACAGTCACGCTTGGAGACTTATCTAACTCACTTTTTCAGACAGGGCGGCGTTGAGAGCATCAGACCAGTTCACGAAATCGGTCTGGTGTTTCGAACTCCGGAAGCTGAAGCCACGAGACACGAGTAAAGAGTTGTTGTTTCCCCTCGAGTCGTTGCGCCGCCAGTAATTAGCTCAGGGATTATTAACCACAAACCCTGTAAGTGGCTTTGTTGGTACCAAGCAAACCAGAGCTGGCTTCCAATAGATTACTTTTTACATGCCAAGGCATAAGTACTGTGAAGCCGAGGAGTCATGTCTGCAGTGTTCTGCAGCGTCGTCGATCCTTCGATGACCTTTTCAGCTTTTCTCTGGTGTGGCAATCAACTTGGGATACTAAAGCCTTTAGCAGGGGCATGCGTGCAAGGTGTGAGTTTTGCAGGTCGCAGTGAGCTGGGGGCACAACGTCATCGTTCAAGCAACTGAGATATTGTTGCTGTACATTGTGCGACGGACATTAGCTATACGGGATAACGAGGGTGAGGGGGTCGGTGGGAAGATACGGTGTAGTTAGTTATGTCAGGTTTGTAGTGAACCTTCTCGAGCTGCAGAGTAGTACCACTCAGCTGGCTGAGCGGCATCACACTGCAGAGAATGGAGAATGCAGGTTTCGGTGTACTAACGCTCATGATTTCTCGTTGATGATGCAAAGTTTCGTGTTTTTTGCATGCACCGCTTCGATGAAGTCTTTGTGATTCCACGATTGATATTGAGTTTGCAGCCGGCAACATGGTAAGAGATGGATGGAGATCGTTTCTAGTGATCAGTTGTGGGATGGGCATTACACGATATTCGGAGGTGATTTTGTGAGATGTCTACATTTTCTAATAGACTCTGAAGAAGTTGGAGTCACTATGATGGATAACAAGAGTGGGAGGGAGAGTTGTAGTAAGAAACTGATTGCTTCAATTTTTGCGTGCATAGTTAAGACACTACATATATTCTCACTGTGAATCTCGTCGCATTTTACTCCGGGCGATGCCTCTCATTTTGATCACTGTCATCCCTTCAGGAAATTTGATCTCCGTTCAGAAAATGTTAGACTTCATTCGGGCTGAGCTTTCTAGGTTTCACTTGCTCTTATTCCAAACCTCTTCTCCTGTCACAATCACAATGACTGTCAGGTAGGTTGTCACTGTAATCCTGGTGGACTGCGTCAAGTTCACTACGAGCACAATGTAGAGATGTGACGAATTCTCTGATACTGAGTAACAAACTTATCTTATCTCCCACTGAGTTGACACTTGTCTTTGGATCTCGCATTCAGCAATCGTTGGGAAGATGGGTAGGTGTGAAAGATCACGAAGTCGCTCATGTCTCGACCCCACGCTCAGGTGTTTCGGGCGGATTTTAGCAGTGGTAAGCATTTTAGGGGTGGTATCGGCGCAGTCTACCAATCCAGTGGATTTGCATGTTCTGCACGAGATGATGTATTCTATGAACTTCGAATACGATTGGGACAGTTACTACCCCGACCCATGTGTCTCCGGCCCCCAGGGAATCGTTTGTGAAGTCGACCCGGTGACGAACCTCTACTTCGTCACGCAGATGCAGTTCGGCTTCATCTCCCCTATCGCCAACCTCATTCCCTGCAGCTGGAACGCTACCATTCCGACGTCTATCGCCAACCTAAAGCGGCTCGACACACTGTCCTTCTACAACTGCTTTATGAACTCGACCATCACCATACCCAAAGAGATCTCTCTTCTAGGTCCGACTCTGCGGCTCCTCTCCTTCAGCGGGAATGCAGGGTTAACGGGCGCCATTCCGGCAGGGTTTGGCAAGCTCACTAGGCTGCAACGGCTGGTTCTGTCGCAGAACCGATTGCAGGGGAGCATTCCCGAGGATCTAAGCAATCTCCAACGCCTCATCCAGTTGGACTTCAGTCACAACAACTTCTCTGGGTCAGTGCCTGCGACTTTTGGTGCGATGAGCAGCATCGTGAATATGGACCTCCGGTACAACCACCTTGAGGGTACGCTTCCCGCATCGATCATACAGGGGATGCCACAGCTGCAGCGCCTCGCCGTGAGCCACAACCATCTTTCTGGCAGCTTGCCGGACACTTTCACAGGGCTGAGCTCCCTCACCTTTCTTGACTTGAGCCACAACGAGCTCACGGGCCCATTGCCGCCTTCGCTAGGGCGTTTGCGGAATCTTGAAGATCTCTTCCTGAATTCTAATCCTCTTGACGGAAACATTCCACCATCTCTGGGCTCGATGAGGAGCCTCGTCAGGCTGGACCTGTCCTCCTGCCTGTTGAGCAGCATCATTCCCGACTCCTTGAAAAACCTGGAGAATCTCAGGTTTCTCTCCATGAGCAACAACAAGCTCTCTGGATTCATTCCAGCTTCTTTAGCTTCGTTGCCGAAGATCTTCACCCTGAACCTGGACGGGAACAAGCTCACTGGACCAGTGCCATTCCCTCCGACTTTTGTGAAGAAGATGGGGCGCAACATGCGGCTAGAGGGCAATCCTGGGCTCTGCTTCACCCCGCAGCAGGCCGCCATCAAGGTCCCTGATCAGAGTTTGAGCCGATGCGCTGAAGTGCCGGCATTGCAAACCAAAGCTCCGAAAGCTTCTTCTACGGCTATATCTCCGAATACAGCTACATGCAATCGCTCGTCTTCTCGCGTTCCGTGGAGCTTGATGACGCTGATATCAATTTTTCTCATTTGGTTTTGAAATATTGTTTCCATGAATTTTGTAACATGCAGCAACCATTCTGTGATGTAGGCAAAGGTGGAGGTGATTACTAGATAAAATGTTTATAAACTCCGCAAATACTCCACATGCAAATGCGTGGTGAGGAGGTCCATTATAAGGAGTTTGATTAATTTGTAATTCAAGAGCACAAGTAGGGAGGAAACGTGTAAGCGTGTGCCCAGCTCAAGATCCACCGTCATTGTGAAGAGCAAAACTTCCAGAACAATGCGAACGTGGATAAGTTGCAAGTCGAACTGATACTCCCGCAGAGGCTATGTCATTGCTATATATTTGTCGCAAGTTCAATTGGGTTTTTGACGACCATTCATACTTCGCCTTAATTGCATGCTGCGGACATGCTTCTGCAGCAAGAGAGGGTGAGCACTAGTAATTTGCCGAGATGCTGAAAATATTCTGTCAGCTGCAGCTTTTGATTAGCTTACTGTTAGAGGGGCTGTTGTGTATGTGTTGGGAGAATAGGTATCACTACTTGAAACCGTAACAGACTCTTTTGTTCTTACTTGGAAACGTATGGCAAATTTTTAGACCGACATAAAGCACCGACTATGTTGTATTTTCAAGTATGGAGTTCCTGCTTGCTAACACTGACTTCAGTGAGCATACCGAGTACTTGCAAAAACAAATCATTAATCGAGAAAGTATTTCACGAAATTTCATATGTTGACCACTCTGGAATTTGGACGAAGAGTTTTAAATTTCTTCTATTTCTATCAAATGAATCTTCAGAACGAACGGTGATGGTGCTCGTTGCACTTGCGTGCATACAATTCATTCATCGATTGTACGCAGTCCCCCAGCCCCAATCAAATTCCCCAAATCGATGTGAATTAAGCATTAGTATTTGATTTGTGGGCACATTACTCTAGTAGATACCCTCCAACTCTGACGATATCATGAAATCACTGACAGTAATAAGTGCACCTTGTCACCCCCAGAAACGGTCTGACGTCCACATGTTGTTTAATCATTTTCCCTTGCTAGGCACTCTTAAGGTGTCATTTCTTCTAGCTGGTCGTCTACTTGGTCAAGCCTATAGACACTTTTTGATGATAATCTGGACAAATAATGGCTCAGTATTTACTACTCAAAAGCGGTGCTCATGACAAGTATCCATTTAATGACATGCAGAATCGATAACAATGTAGCTTTTTCTGTCTAATCATTTTTTTTTTTTCATTTGTGAGCAACTTGCTCACGGGACATCCAACCTGAGACAAAGATATACAGTGGAAAAGATTTCCAGAGCAGAGATCGCCGAGCACTATCTCGGATGCAAACTCAAGTGTTAACTTGGTGAGCTTTACTGCGAAGTACGCTGGAGACAAAAAAGAAGCGGGGAAAAAGAAAACTACTGAATAGGCACAATTGTGCTTTATAGCCAGATACACATTTTTTAGGCTAGGCGTGAACACCGAAACACGCAGTGCCTACAACTATCAATTAAAACTTCAGCAAAGGGATTTTAAGTTTAAAAAGAACTAATTTCATCTTCGTCATCTTCGTTACCCGAGCTTGAGTCATCTTTGTACACACTCTTTCTCTGCCTAGTTTATTCAAACAGTTCTAAGGGTCACATAACTCCTCAACTGCCAATAAGTTCTCAAGAGCCTGGTGTTCGCAACAGCAGTGACTTCAAAAGTCTGCCATCCTTGGTTCCTATCTCATTTCAAGGTATATTGTTTGCAACTGAGGGCTGCTACGTGGCAAGTGATATAGTGAACGTAAGTTAGTGTCAGTGTAGGTCAGAAGAAACCTAGATCATACAGAATAAGCCATTGAAAAGTTGCAGAAAGCCCAAAAAAATTATGACATACCTACAGAGAACCCTCCCCTAAATTATTCAATTTACACAGCGGAAACCACCGCAGATACCCAGCCAGATAGCGAACAGGACACAACACACAACGAGGTCCAGAATGAACACAAGCTTCACATTCTTCCACCACATTTGAGCCGCCATTTGCCGACCCATCCGCCTTCTCACGCTAGGATCCATGTCGGAGGAATTGCATGTATCGAGTGCCTTCCCACTGTTAGTCATCATAATTTCTTTAACCTGGATGACCTGGGTAGCACACCCTTGAGCCATTAGCACCATGACCTTCCCACAAAGCTTTAAATATGCAACCAATACATCTTCAAGCTCGAAAGATATGCAAAATATCCAACTTCATGAAATAATTCAACCGATTTACTAGTCAGCAGGTTAAATCGAACAATCAGATTAGGTTTCCCCTACCAAAATAATTCTAAATCATACAGTTTTCAGAAAAGATATACTGGACGATTGAAGTAGGAAATGCTTATAGTTCCCTGATCAAATTAGAAAGGCATCGCCAGTGAGCAATTGAAAGAAAAAACCATGCATAGTATTAGAAGGTGGAACAGCACAGGCACCTGCTGGTCTTTGCTGTGTTTCTTGCCAGCCTTGTAATCTCGATGACCATTGGCGGTGAGAAGAGACGGTCTACCCACGTTTGTTCCTCCGTGGGAATTCTCCGCCCGAGCAGAAGCAGACGAACTCAGGACAAAGCCATCTCTAGAATCAGGACAATCGTAGTTTAAATCGACCTCCTTCTGAGGTATGCCCACAAGTGGTTTTACTAACTGATTGAAAACACCCGCAAAGTCATAGGCCAAGGACATTTTTTCCAGTCCCATGCCATCCAGGCCGCGAGATCGAATCAGCAGCTTGAACTCATCCCTGACCCGTTCTAGAAACCAGATGGATTTTCCTTTCCCCAACGCCTCGTCCACAACTGCACAGTACGTGAACGGGCCATCTATCAAGAACATGAACATTCGTTGCTTAATGGTATAGGTGAATTGGTTGTGGTAGGGCGGAACTTTCTCCAGACATTCCTCCCCAACATCTGCTAGGTTTTCCTTAGGATTTATGTGCTCCGCAAGTACGATGTTCCCCCTAGCCACCGCTGCATAATATACAAGATTAACGATTGAACCCATGATGCGACTCTCCTTGTCACGCGAGTTTCTGTACACCATATCCAGCAAACTCCGTCCCTGTAAACCTAATTTGCTATATCATTCGCCAGATTACCCTAACAACCGCGGTACCATAGAGTCTTCCACCTCAAAGACCTTGCGCAAAATGTCCGTAATTCACCACAGTTCTGAGACTTCAAAGCTTTCCTTCCTCACCCAATAATCACCCCCTTCGTCGAAACAGAGCACCACCCAATCCATACTACCACCCACTGAACAAACTACCCTGACACCTGAAACAATTCATCGTAGTCAGACCGACAGATCAATCGGTCGCCCACTCCTCACCGCCCCCGAAACCCACAACACAGCATTCTTCCACTACCTCTTCTCCAAAACACGGCATCAAACATGAACTTCAACACGAACTTCGACACCAATTAAGCATCGTCAATATCAATACAATCGATCGATCTTGGTCTTCACCTTTCTCTCCACAGCCAAAAACGTCAAAACAACTAACCCAACTTCAAAAATAGTTCTTACAAGGATCCGTCTACGTCTCTGCTACTACTTTCTTATTCATCGAGGCTGAGAAACAGAGTTATATCCCTCAAAACCCTAACAAAACACAGTGCGATGTCGGACATAGGTGCAGGCAGGGACCGAAACCAAAAGAACACACGGAAGGTGAAGCGCTACCTACAAGTTAGGTGCGACGATTTAGACCGGGCCCACGAGGCCACAGAGGCCTCGAATTCTGGAGATTAAGAAGTAGAAATGTAGGGTACTGGGGTCTACAATACTGCACTTGAAAGACGAGTTGCGAGATCAAATGAGCTATTGTTAAACAGATGCCAGACTATCTGGAGTTTCTTTTCAAAGTTTTGGCTGAATCATGAAAGGGAATGGTAGGCTTGGCGGGGCTAAAATTGCACCTGGCAAGAGAGGCAAGGGGAAGGTGGCCCCGTGGCGACGACAATCTTGGGTTTCGTTTGGAGCTGCAAGGCGAACGTTAGCTTTGACGTGGGGGATGGGTCTTGATCCAAGCCTTGGTCCCAAAGTTCACCCTACAAAAAGGCTTCGGCTCCCACAGTTCCTGCATTTGTTGACTAAGGAAATGTCCTCACAAACTACAACCATATTTCCCACGACTGGTCCATCTCTGGCAACCCTTCGCAAACCTCTTCAAAGGTGACCAGGGACGAAGCCCGTAGGTATTAAACTGCGATGTAGGGGTGGATTACTGCATGTCCAAAAGTATGGAACTTCGTGGAACAGGCAGATGAGGTAGAAGCCATCTCACGGAGCACTTCCGTTAGCCTATTCCGTATTTCACTGTTTCGAGTTCGCGGAGGTTCGAAATCTAAACCCGAAATTTCCTCTTCAATTTTCAGGAATTGGGATCCGTGATGTCAGGCGAACAGCGTCGAATTTTTGACCGATCCCAACTCCTCAACAATTGTTCACCCATCGCGAGAACTATTCCTCTCCAAGCTCGTCAGTCACGGTCATCGGTTTTACCGCCCTGGTGACAGATTCCCCACCGTGCCACTTCAAAAGACTCGAACCGGAACTACGGCGTGGACGTACCAATATTGGCGTAGCCATTTGCCTAGCCCATGCCCCGTCCACTGCAAGACAGGAACAAAGATCGTCATATATAGGCTCGGCCACGTCATATTTGGCGAAGCACGGTGAGCTAACCCATTTCCCTTGAACATCGATTTTGTCTCATCAAAAATACTTACTGAAAAAATGAACCCACAGGCACCATTCACTACGTCGCACACACCCATGCCTCAGGGGCTCAGTGGCACTCCCATTTAGAGGGGCATCGGTGGGGATGCTCTATGATCAGCTCTCTTAATGGAGTCCCTTTGCCGTGCGCTTTATCCATGAACTTGCGAAGGCGATCCCCGCGAGTCTGTTTAAAGAGCCCCGACTTAGAAATGGGAGACTTAGCGAGGGTCGCTGGCTTTCCAGTCGATAGCACAACGACTCTGTTCCTGCCATGAGGGGTGAGTAAATTACATAACATGTTAGCTTGACACCAGGCCCTCTTGCATTGCGGCGCACTCCCAAATTTGGCGCAGCACTGATCCAGTAACACACGATGTGCAAATTGGGCAATCTCTGTCAGAGCCATCGGTGACCCACGCAAGATATATAATACCGAAGATAGAATCTCGGGAGCTGTCCTCGGCAGAAGGAGACCGCCAGATCAAGCCAACTGCCGAATCAAACATGAGTCCTTGGGGACGGGGATAAAAAAAACCAGTGAAGATTGCATAAGAGGTGTTTGCTCACAGTCAATATTGAGGCAATAACCGGGAAAAAGCAGCAGCAGACTCAAGGCTAATCATGGAAAGAATAGGATCTTGGCTGTTTCTATTTAAATGCCAGAACCTCCCTGACCTACCGACACATTTGATCAAACTCTGTTGGGTGAAAATATGGTGGATAGCATTGTTTGTTGTTTCAACACCCACACGCTCTGGAATGTTGGATGTTTGCTCTGGCGTGGCGGCGCTGCGTGAATAAAGGTAGCCGTTTTTATAGAGGGTGATGAGTTTGGGGTCAATGCTAGTCACGTAGATTCTCACATTCGAACACACCCCCCATCAAATATGAACGTAGCAATCAAGTTTCTTTTGATGAATGATTCAAAGACATGATCAAATCCAATGCGACAGCTGAACCCCGTATTTGTCAAAATCAAAAGAAAAAGAAAAAGACATGGTCACGTTGTACTTGTTAATGTCTCACCCAAACCTTGGGACTTGAGTTAGGCCCTACAATCACTGTGTATTCCCTCATTTTAAAAAGAAAGCAGTAAAGTTTTTTCTGTTCCAAAAATATAAATTAATAAACAAATGCTGATTGAAAATGAATCAAAATGTACTTTAATGTGTTAAATACTACTATAGAAAAATTAAAGAAAAACGGTTGAATTATTTAACAAGTTAAATAATAGAAATATTTTTTTGTATTGGAGAAAGATAAGGTTGGAGTGATTTGGTTTATATGCTTTGATCAGCGATTAGCTCAAAAAAAAAATTTAATGTGTCATTGGGGTTGGTGAAGCTAAGCCATCCAACTCAATTTTTTATTGCATATGTTGTCCATGTTATTCTTGTAGGTGCTTGGTATTTCCAACCAATCTAGAGGTAGTTGCAAAGGAGTGTTTTAATTTATTTGATAGCTTTCTTAGATCCGGTCCACACTTCTAAAGTACCATAGGGTAGAAATAAGCAATTGATTAACAATTAATCTTTGACTCATAAGTGAAAGTTTGGTGGAACATTAGAATGTAAGTTTTAGCTTAATCTTCTCTAATAAGAACCTATAAATATTTGATGTGGTAACAGATAAGTTGAAAGGAATTTCCAATAGCTTGACAAGTTGGCCCTCTAGTATCCACACTTAGCCAAAGTTTCTTATCTACATTGGAGATGGGCAGCATTTGCTTGTTCAATTGTTGTTCTTAAAGATTAGTATAATGACGCTTTTGATTACCTCTCTTAAAAATGTTCTTTCTATAACAACTTCTACAATCAATCTATAATCTAAGTTAATAATATTTTAATATGTGGTGAAGAAATTCACCGCAATGCCATTTGACCTAGAAGTCTATTATTTTTTTATATAGTATGCTACTACAAAAAAATTCCTTGTTTGAAAATAAATTATTTAAAATTTGAGTTATTCAATTTGAGACGGTGGTTGAGATAGCATCAAAGATTTCTATTTTGGCTATATTATTTTTTTACCTTTATCTTATTTGTCATAGAATTTACTTAAAAAGCTCTATATAAATATCTTCAATAGCTTGATTATTGATGACTTTGAATCTTATGAAATTAATGAATTTAATGACTATATTTTTTTTTAAATTTTTTTCTTATTATGAAAAAAAATTCTTTTGTCATGTGATCATTTTTTACTCTCCATCTAATATAAGTATAAATTATTTAATTCTTTTATGAGTGTAAAATTTACTTTTCAATGAAAATTACAAGATGGCCTCAATTAAGGATTGCTTATAATTGGTGGTGTGAAGTGGAAGTAGTAAGAATAAGAACAAAAGAAGTACAATATATAAACTAGTGAAATAAGTGCAATCAAGCAATTGTACACTACAAAACTAATTACAATCTATTCATTGAGTTTTCACCTAATAAAATAAAAAATAAAAATAAAAATAAATTTTTATAAAGAAAAATTCTTTATCTTTTCAATGGTATAAGAAATATGTAAATCCAAGTTACTATGAGTAAGTTATGAAGGTTTAAAAATAACAAGTAAATAAATGAAAAGTAAATAATTTTTACCTCAAGGATAACTTGCTTAAGAGATCAAGAGTTTGAGCCTCACCAAGGCTCACAAGTAGTGTATATGAGTCTCTAAGAGAGGCTATAAGACCTTAGTCTTATTTTCTTAACTATCTTCAAGGTGCTACAATCCATGTAGGACTGGAACACCTCATTTCTTATAAGGGTTATATTAGCTACTGGTCCTTCTATTTTTTACTAGTAAAATCAATAATTTTATATTTTTGACTTCATTATAATATTTAAAAGCACTTAATTAGCCTAGGAACCTTGTTTGGCCTTCAAATCTTGCTCCATTTCTTCATAATAGCTCCCAAAGTGGTGAAACTCATTTTTACCAAAGTGTTGGAAATTGCTCTAAAAATTCATAAAATATTTTAAATAAATTCTAAATAAATTCTAAAAATTACTTGAATGGTTTTATAATGCTAATATCAGTTTAATAATATAATTTCCTATCTTCATGATATTTTATAGTAATAAAATCAATTTAAATCTACTTAAATTTTACTCTCTATATAATAACTAAAAAGACATTAGATTCTTTCTCATGCTTCTTTTGATTATTAACTAATATTTATAGTTTTTTTATAAGTAATATTTATATATAGAATATCAATATAAATACTGACCTTAATAAATAATCCTTAATATTCAATAATAAGTAAAAAATACTAAACCAACTAAGATAATTGCCTCCAAGACTTATTAAGATTCCAATCCTACAACTAAAATTCTAATTTTCTATTTGTCTAAAGATTTCTATTCTATTCACCTTATATTGTAGTTCTAAGCAATCTAAATACATCTTTTTATCCTAAAACACTAGTGAGTTGATTTTATGAGTCATACTTTTAGTTTTTGGATCTCTTTTATGAATAAAATATTACAATATTTATTAATATAAATTTAAAATTTTATGTTTTTGAAGTTCTTGTAAATTGTCTTGAGCTTTTGTAAGGGCAATTCTAGCTTCTTTTTTTGTTGCCACTATTAATTAGATAATTAGTGCACCAATAATTGACACCAAAAAATTCTATTATTTTTGGATAAATCTTAAGAAATTATTATCTTATTTTCAATAATTCTATTTAATTAGTCAGATGATCACTTGGATGGATTAAAACCAAAATAGATAAAGACTAAGATGAATAAAGATTAATTTTGATAGAAGATAGTGGCTAAAGATTCAAGGATAGAAGGACTTTTAGCTCCTATTGTATAACTTGATTATCTATTTGGGAATACATTAAATACCTAGCTATAGAAAATTTAGCTTTAAATTATTGACTAAACTCCAATAAGTGATTTATCTCTATTATAGAAGATAAATAAATGCAGCAATATAAAAAAAGTACTCTAATAA